GGTGACATCACCCCGCCGGGATCAAGGGGACTCACAGCGCGGGGGGGGCCGGCCTCGCGCCAATCTGCTGCGGTGATGCTCTGGGCTGGGCGATTTGGAGGGGATTGCAGAGACTGATTCCTGAACGGCTTTAGCTGCTCTTAAATCCCCGGGAGAATAAAGCAGAATAATCAGTTTTTCGCAAGCTAGGAGGAGAGCGGCGCGGCTGCCAGCCTCCCGGCGAGGGTCACCTCTGCAGTGGCCGCCGTCACGTGGAGCGGCAGCAGCAGCAGCAAAAGCGATGCGTAAGGGGGAGGAAGAAGAGGAGGATGATGGGGAAGGGGGAAGCATGGAAGCTGATACCGTCTGCCTGACAACCCGCACCTCCGCAGCGCAGAGGAGCAGTGGCTCCCAGAGGGGTTGGCCGGTCCCTGGAGGCGGTCCCTGCTCTGTCCCCATAGAAGGAGCAATTGCCTCCTCCCCGCTCCTGGAACATTGTGTAATGGTCCAGGTACTGGCTGGGAACATGATTATAACCAGGGATGCTAGGGGGGCAGAGGAGAGGCGTTGCCACCGTCTTCAATTCACAGCTTTTTCCTTTTCTTTTCTTTTTTCTTTTCGGTACAGCTGAAATCTCTCCCAGCGCATCCGTGCGCAGGAGGCAGCATGCCCCTGCTGCTGCTCTGCACAGCCCCTGCCATGCTCGCTGCTTGCACACTGGCTCTCCCAGCGCACACAGCCCAGGAATTAATTAAGCTTCAGGGCACCCTTGTGAGGTTAAGCCACTTGCCCTGGGAAGCTGGAGGGGGAGACCAGGGGGGTCACAGAAGTATCCTCATCTGGCATAAAGCACAGGTGGTGGCCGTGGCTCAGGGTGTCCAAGCCTTTTCGTGCACGCACCTGCGAGTTTGTATTTTGGGGTGATGAACTCCTCTTCCCCTTTCTCCTTCCCCCACGCCTCCGATTTCAGCCACTTGGGTCGTGGACGTATTTTGGGACTCCCAGAAATCAATATGATCTGCTGCCTCAAGGTGCACAGACCCTCAGACCCTCTGATGGGGATGCTGAAAGCTGGTTTAGACCTCTGT